CTGAAATATTTATGGGAGCAGATTGCCAGGTCTTTCTCCTGTACAGTCACAGGGTGGGTTTGAGCTGACAACCTTTTGGTTCACAGCTGAGCGCTTAACTGTCGTACCAGCAGGGTTTCTTGCACCCAGTGGTTTAAAAATAATATTTATCCTTGTGCAAAAGGGGCAGGGAGGCAGCATCTTCTCACCTTCTCTAACTTCACAAGAGGAAGACAGAATCACCATCAGCAGCCCACGGCCTGTTCTTACGAGGCCAGACATGCCACCACCCTCCAACCCTCTTACTAACCTTGTCACCAACCGTTCCTCCTGTGGCACCCGCTACCTCTCTACTGGGTTCAATAATTTGCTACAGTGTTCACAGAGAACTCACAGATTGTGGGGTTTATTAGGGAAGCAACAGGCTATAATTCAAGTTCAGGAATGTGCTCAGTCTTTCTCAGCCAGCCATCTCTCTCAGCTGGCCGTCTCTCTCAGGAGTGCGTCTCTCTCATGTCTCTCTCAGCGGTGCATCTCTCTCATGTGTCTCTCTCGGTGCATCTCCCTCACTTCTCTCTCGACGTGTCTTTCACATTTCAGCAGCGCATCTGTCTCTCAGTGCATCTCTCTCACATCTGTCTCTCAGCAGCATGTCTCTCTCTCTCAGCAAGCATGTGTCTCTCAGCAGTGCATCTCTCAGCCGGCAGTCAGAAAGACTCTTTCTGCCTCTAGGTGAGCTCATTTTAAGCCTGGTAGAGTGGCAGAACTAACCATTCCCAACATCAGAACTCTACACACCTGAAAGAGAGTGAACTTCCCAGAAGATTGCTTCCTGCTGCTCCAGCAGAAATACACCGGGTGGATAGCTTTAACAATCAGCTACTCAGTTGCTCACAGCAAAATGAGAGTTACAAAGACTATGGCTAGAAAAGCCTTACCGTGTAATTTACTACACTATACCTGATATGGGTAAGCACTAAGAGATGGACACAATAGGTTTTACAAAGGCCTCCCCCATGAGATAGTCCCATCAGGCCTTCAGAATGTCTATGTACTGAGTGGTTGGGTCTTTAACCAGTTAGAAGGGTAACGGGCAGGTGGGGGTGGGGCCAGGGGTTGAGGTGGAGTGATGAATACTGGCCCAGTGCTCTGATGGCCTGTGAGAAGATGGCAGGGCTAGACGCAAGAACTCAGAAAAGCATCACAGCCTGGAACCATCTAGGGTTCGTGTGAGCCACCTTCAGCAGTTGGCTCTGTGGTCTTCAATGGCTGGGGCTCACCCTACCGAGTTATATAGTAATTATTTAGTTTAAGAAGTCAGAAAAGCACGCATCATTGAAAGCCTTGCATCTAATGATTAAGGTAACCCCAGTCTCCATCATTAGAGCATTAGGCTTTAGTTCCAGACTCAGTATTAATTTTATACTTAGAAATTGAGTTTTAAAGACAAAACTTCAGAAATGATTAATATGTTAGAGTAGTGCAACAGCTTGTGATTTAACGAGTAATAGTGGCATCTGTGCATAATTCCAGCGAGGATTGTTCTATTTCTGGTCATAATGGTCAGTAGGAATTAGTGGAGACAGCCACCCATTTTACAGGTGGAGCTGTAAGACAATGTCATATGACTGCCCATATCCACACAACCGAGGCATGCTAGGAGTGTGTTTAGATTGAACACATCTCCAACCCAGTGGTTCCTTAGCAACACCAGGCTTCAGTGTCCATGTTGTCTGTGGCTGCTGTGTGAGGACAGCACACCGGGTCCAGGTCTGACTGCTGGCCACCTGTCCTGTGGGAGAAGGGGCCTCACCCCAGGCTTGCAGCGGGGGGATGGCAGTAGATAAACAAATCTGTGGCTGAGGCCGTGTGTCTAAAAGGAGAGCAAAGAAGTTTTTATCTCTGTTCATTGTGGATTATTTTTAATTTTATAAAAAACTGTAGTGAAATATTGTAAGACATGAAATTTACCATTTTTGTCTTTTCTTTTTTAAATTAAAGGAGTGGTATTGCTGGATTGTAGTGTATGATAGGTGTCCAGCTTTAACAGGAACTGCCAGACTGTTTTGCAAAGTGGCTGCACCGTGTCCATTTTGAGTTGTAAATTCAGTGACATTAAGTACGTTCACCATGTTGTGCCGCCATCACCCCTGTCCGTTCCAAAACTCCTTCATCACCTCAAAGAGAAACGATACCTGAAGCAGTAGCTCTCTGCGCCCTCCTCCCCCAGCCTCCGGGGACTTTCAGTGGACCTTCTGTCTTTGTCTTTCTAGCTGTTGAGTGCAAACAATATTTGTTCTTTTGTGTCTGGCTTATTTCACTCATTGACCAGATACTCAGCAAAGGATAGTCAAGGCCCATCCGTGTCATATCATGAACTCCATCTCTTTTCATGGCTAAACAATATCCCATCATTCAGAGAGAGACCACATTTTCTTTACCCATTCCTTGGTTGATGGACACTTGGGTTGTTTCCCCCTTTGGCTATTGTGAATAGTGCTGCAGTGAGCACTGGTGTGCAGGTATCTGTTTGACTCTCTGCTTTGAATTCTTTGGGCGCATATCTTGGAGTGGAATTGCTGGGTCATAGGATAATTCTAACATAATTCTATGTTTAACTTTGTGAGAAACCTGCCATACTGTTTTCCACAATGGCTACACCATTTTATATTGCCACCAGCACTGCACGAGAGAGTTCTGGCAAATGAATCGCGAGAGACTCAATGAACTCTGTGAAGCAGGCGTTTTCTCTGGTTTCCACTCTGCAGTTGGCTGTTCTGCAGATTATGAATGTGACTCCATTGCAGATTTGCGTATGAGTGCCCCCTCCCCTGACCCCCAGATCTTAGCCCCAGACTTTTCAGAGCTGGGATATTACAGTTCAAGATTCTAGTAGGTTTATGTCTGCTCTAGCGTTTGTACGTTCCTGCAATATGTCCTGTTGTTCTTGCTTAGAAAATTGAGCCCCCGCCTCCAAACAACACTTCCATATTGTGTGTAAGGGTTTATGTAAAGCAAAAAGTCAACAAATTAAAGTGCAGCTCTGAGGGGGCTCGCTGGCTCTGCTGGCTGAGCTTACAGTGCTTTTAACACTGGTGAACGTGTTAACCTAACTGCTTCAAATCAAACTGCAAGATGCTGGTGTGAAACACAATATTAGATATCAACTCAGACATATGGGTGTTGAACAGGAAGGGTATGTGTTGTGGTAGTCGGTGGCGTTCCAGCATGTGGAGTTGTGTTTTATGGAGATTCTTTGGCTTGGCTTAAGGCAGGGACATACATTCATTATGGGATACCAAGCTGTAAAATAAACAACAGTGAAGAATTCAACTGTGCTGCTGCGTGGTTTTCACTATGAACTCGTCTGCTCCACCAGCTTAGGCTGTGTGTGATGAGAGGCCTTGGTGGGCCGTGGGGCCAGTTTTCTCCCGACCGTTGCTAACAGATGGGGTCGAAAGGAATAGGAGCTTTTGTGTTTTTTTCCTTTTACACCACGTACGTGTTACGAATTACTGTGCGAATTGGTCTTGGGGGCAACGTGTTTTCATTTTCTCCCTTGACTGTTCCTTCTGCCCTTTCCCTGGATTCTGAGTCTGTAGTGAATTTGGTTTTGCAGTGTGTATCTGGAACTGATGTCTGATTTAAGTGTGTGGGTTTATGGAGCTCATGTTCTTTGAGTTCCCAAACAGACCATATTGTGGTATTGACAGTGAACTCACCATTTTCTTGGTTCCCTGTTCCTGGTTGAAACTCTGCCCAGCCCCCATAATTTAAGGTTGTTTTTTTTTTTTTTTTTTTTTTTTTTTTTTTTTTTTCTCCTGTTTTCCCACTTTCTCTGCCAATTAAACAAAGTATCGGTAGTCTCCTCACTTTTTAAAAATAAAAAATAAGATTAATGGCTTTATTTCTTGCACAAGGAAAAGATTGTGCTTTGAACAGTGATTTCAAGGATTTTTAGGATCATAGAAATTTGAGCTGGCAAAGATGGATTGAGGGCATTTTTGTCTAGATCTCTGGTATTTGCAGCCCTGGTGGCTCAGTGGTTAAGTGCTGGGCTAAGTCAGCGGTTCAAGCCGACCATTGGTTCCATGGGAGAAGAGACGTGGCAGTGAGCTCCTGCAGAGATTTCAGGCGAGGCACTCCTCTGGGAGCAGTTCTAGGGGTCACGTAGGGTCTCTCAGAGTCAGATGGACTCAGGCGCACACCACCAGCACCACTTTGCTTCACAGCGTCCCTGTTGTATCAACTAGGACCAAACTGTCCTTAAATTAGATACGAACATCTTTCTTTCAGGAACTCATATTGATGGTTATATGGTTTGATGCCTATCTCCACCCCCCCCCCCAAAAAAAAAGGATTTCCTTTTTAGCAAAAAACAATTAGTAAATGGAGTTGCTGATGGAACTCGTAATATCGGCTACTAATGTAATTGGGAAGTTTTGGCCTTAATTGTTATTTGAAATGGGGAACCAACCCGCACTGCTGGCAGGCATCTGAGCGCAGGCTTGCTGTGGAACCCTCCGGGGCATTGCCATCGAGGGCTGGGGACGTCTTTCTCTTATTCCTGCACAGGAATGGGTTTAGCACCATGCTCCTTTGACCACCTTACCAAACCACACCACACCACACCAAACTCACTGCCGTTGAGTCAGATCTGATGCATAGTGACCCCTCCCTGGGTTTCAGAGGCGGTATCACTATGGAGGTAGTGGAGACTATTTTTAATGTCACTCTTAGGAACCTCAATTTTCATTCCACAAGATTTGTGAAGTTATCAAGACTTGGTATCTGATCAATATGATGGGTTTCCCAGGCGTAGTCCCGTTCTCTTTGGCCTTTCGTGATAGCATGTGAGTAGGAAGCAGTAAGTCAGTCCTCTGACCACGAGGATGAAAGATACCGAGCACAGCCGCGTAGGAGAGAGCCTCTTCTCTTCCGGTGCTGAATTGAAACCATGTTGGATTCCAATGCCTTGTGTGTTTTGACTTTCTCGCTTGCTCTGCTTGACTTTTTGACAGATGCCACCTCAGTATGGACAGCAAGGTGTGAGTGGTTACTGCCAGCAGGGCCAGCAGCCATATTTCAACCAGCAGCCGCAGCCTCCACACCTCCCACCGCAGGCACAGTATCTGCCACCCCAGTCCCAGCAGAGGTACCAGCCACAGCAGGTGAGCAATGCCACTGCTCTCCAGCCCTCGGGTTCGTTCGCGCTGATGTTCAAGGGTCGACGGGGCTCTCTGCAAAACCTACCCACTCAGTTTTTAAAATTTTGCTGTCAATAGGGGGGAAAATGTGGTTTTGGAAAAATGCAAAACTAGCCCCTAATCTCCATTTGTGTTTACCCATCTATTTTGGGACGTTTTAGATTGAAGGGTGAGAAGAAGAACTGTGTTAATAGTTGCTTGCATTACTGGTTACTGACGAGCAGAAAATGTCACTCATTTCATGCTCGATGTCATTTGTGTTTGAAATTTTTCTAGAGAGGGCTCTGCCATTTTGTTGAGGCATGTTTGGGAGAATGGCTTCATTGATCATTTAATCTTGCTAGTTGGCAAATGCATGGCATTTGTATCTTGAGCTTTGTTTTTGTTTTTGTTTTAATGGCAAGTGCTATTCCATCAAAGCATCATTGCCTTTGGCAGTGTTATTCTTAAACCAGCTTGTAAACAGATAATCACTTCAATTACAATATATTAAAATAGGAAGAGGAATCATGTACTTTAAGTATATTAAACTGTTTCTAGTTTAAATTGGCCTCATTAAATACTCTTTTAGGTTATTGGGCTATATATTTCAGCTTACATGATTTGTAGGCAAAGAGTACGTATGTACTATGGGAACCGAGTCAGCTCTGTCTTCTGTTTAGAGACCCATTCGTGAGTTCAGATGAGTTGTCAGCGAAGGATTCCCGCTCTGAGTCCAGATAGAACTTTCAAATAGCACTTTCTGTCTTCAGCATCAGAGCATAACTTTGCATTTTACATTTTTCTTTATTCTTTTTCTTTTGTGGGAATGGGAATGGGAATGGGAAAAAAGAGGAGGGAGTCCATGTGGCATTGACTATCCAGTTTTTAAAGTGCCTCCTACACGCCTTGAATAGAATGTTGATGCTGAGCAAAAAGTATAAATTTACGGAGCTCAATATTAATCAGTTCAGCTGATTTCTGAAGTATTTCTCCAGCTTGTTGGAGTATTTCTCAGTGAGACTTTTATTTAAGAGTTCTAAAAGAATTTGTGACTTTAACCAAAACCTGGTTGCAGTGTAGTAAATTACTTAGTGTGGCTTTTCTACCCATAAGTCTTTGTAAACTCCAAGGTGGGATTTTCTATGAGCAACTGAGGAACTATCCACCTGGGTTATTTCTGTTGGGCGTGGCACAATACAATGTTCTGGGAGGTTCCCACTCTCTCACACATGCTTAGAGTTCTGATA